CCATCGGAAGTGTTGTCCAGAAGAAGCAATGCAATCTCGTTGCTTACAGCAAATGCAACCTTGGCTCACAACTGAGGGCCAAGTTCTGCTTTATAGCTGTTGGAAATCAAGCCATGAAGAGAGTTGCAGGGAAATTTGGAAGCCCAGCGGTGATTGTCACCTGTTTACGCAAGACGCAGTCTAGGATAAACAGACACACAAGGCAAAAAGGAAATATTTTGTTGCATGCCACTCCATGTTCTTGATCTAGTGCCAAATCAGATATGTTTTCTGAGGATTGTTTTACAATCTCTTGTTCCCACAAGTTTGAAAGGGTTATATATACATATATTTAAAAACAGTCAATTCCACTGGGACTAGAACATGTTCTACCCTCCATTATAAATAGACACAGATATTAGAATGAGGAAGAGAAACAGGAAAGTTTATCCGGGGAAAATATTAAGTATTTGAACTTGTATCCCCCTCCCCCCCATATATATATATATATATATTCAAAAAAGGGGCCCTTAGCTGGATGAGAAAAAAAGGAGGAATGTTTAGAGAAGGGCTGCAGTGGAGGAAAACGACCTTACGCTGCCCAGCAGTTTCCTCCTCCAGATTTCCCTTGCTCTGGCCGGGTCACTCATGGGAATTTATGCAGATCCCGGATTGCTGATGCTGATGGAGGGAGAATGAATTGCATGTATGAACTGACTGATGTTTGGAGGAGGGAGGCTGAAGTGATATTGACTTCCATGGTACAAAATTGGGACCAAAATATTTTGCTACTCAAAGTAGAGGGCAAAATAGTTCCCTCCCTGCAAGGACAGAGATTCATATACACCCACAAGCACACTGGAAACTTAAATTTTCAAACCTTGATTGGTGCTTCACTGATATCGTTCTGTCTTATACAGGCCATGCTTGGAATTCTGCATTCAGTTTTGGTCACCATGATGTAAAAAAGATGTGGAAACTCTGGAAAGAGTGCAGAGAAGAGCAACAAAGATGATTAGGGGACTGGAGGCTAAAACATATGAAGAACGGTTGCAGGAACTGGGTATGTCCAGTCTAGTGAAAAGAAGGACTAGGGGAGACATGATAGCAGTCTTCCAATATCTCAGGGGCTGCCCCAAAGAAGAGGGAGTCAAGCTATTCTCCAAAGCACCTGAAGGCAGGACAAGAAGCAACAGACGGAAACTAATCAAGGAGAGAAGCAACCTAGAACTAAGGAGAAATTTCTATCCAGTTAGAACAATTAAGCAGTGGAACGACTTGCCTCCAGAGATTGTGAATGCTCCAATACTGGATGTTTTTAAGAAGAGATTGGAAAACCAATTGTCTGAAGTGGTGTAGGGTTTCCTGCCTAAGCAGGGGGGTTGGACTAGAAGACCTCCAAGGTCCCTTCCAATTCTGTATATTCTATTCTATTCTATTCTATTCTATTCTATTCTATTCTATTCTATTCTATTCCATTCTATTCTATTCTATTCTATTCTATTCTATTCTATTCTATTCTATTCTATTCTATTCTATTCTTATTCTTATTCTTATTCTATTCTCTATTTCTATTCTATATCATACTAAGCTTCAGGTAGCCAGTGAATATCCAATGCAGCAGGCTATACAGGTAGTCTTCAACTTACAACTGTAAGGATTTCCATTGTAACTCATGACCGTGATTAATTTGAGGCAGTCACATGACCAGATGCAATTTCACTACTTTTTTGCAGCCGTTAAGGGAGTTATTGTATTCCTATGGGCGTGGGTTTTGGTAAAAAAAAAAAAAACACACACTTGAAAAGGCCAGAAATTTGTAAAAAGTGTTATAAATCAGTCATGGGACTGTAGAATGTTGCAACCTGCCGTAAAGGTGAGCCCGTTGCCAAGCGGTTACCGAAACGCAGTCACGCGACCCCGAGAGTGTGCGTCAGAACTCTGAGAGTCTGTTATAACACTGAATGATCGCTAAGCAAACGGTGGCAAGTCAAGGACTAGTTGTACCTTTAGGGAATGGAAGAATGAAGGCATGGAACCACCAACTGTGGTTTATGCAATGAATGTGGTGCAACAAGTGACTACAGCAGAGTGACAAATGTATTTGGGAAATGCTGGGTTTCTTGGTTTTTACGGCCATGATTTAGAGAACTGATATTTCAGAGGCCAAGTGGCCTTAAGAGGCAAGAAGGAACAATCACTTATCATGCAAAGCTTTCTTCAGTCAGAGGGGGAGAATTATATTCCTTGAGTAGCCCCAACAGGGAGGCTTAGGAAACAGTAAAGTAACAGTTGGAAGGGATTTTGGGAGTTCTAGTCCAACATCTTGCTCAAGCAGAACAATCTACATCCGTGATGGTGAACCTATGGTACGGGTGGCCACAGGTGGCACGCAGCACCCTCTGTGGGAATGCAAGCTGTCGCCCCAGTTCAGCTTTGCTGCATATGCCTGCACACTTCACGCCGGCCAGCTAGTCATCGGGTCTCTGCCACGCATGTGTGGGGACAGGGCATGTGCGGGGAGGCATACATGTATGTACAGGGCGGGGCATACGCAGGGGACCACACGCACATTGCATTTTGGGAGTTCGGGTGCAGGCAAGCGCATTCGCACACACGTGCTTTGGGCACTCGGTCCAGAATGGGTTAGCCATCACGGGCCCTACATCATTCCAGATAAATGGTTGTCCAATCTCTTCTTAAAAACCTGCAGTGTTGGAGAGCCTCCACAACTTCTGGAGGAAAGTCATTACCCGATTTAATTGTACTAAGTGTCAGGAAATTTTTCCTGAGTTCTAGGTTGGTTCTCTCCTCGGTTAGTTTCCAACCGTGCCCCAAGGCAGTCTTGATCTCTTGCCAAGGGTGCTCTCAACAGACCCGTGTTTTCTCTGGCAGAGAGCAGGCGATTCCGTTGACGATAAGCTGGATCTGTTTTGCTGTGGTCTTGTAATCATCCTCAGGAAATTTCCACCGAGCAGTTCAGGAGGTCATTAAGAGCCAACCACATGGCTCTTTATGGAATATCAGCGAGGGCACGGAGGAGGCAAGTTTCGAAGGGACACACTGTTCTACCACCACTATAAATTAGGGTTATCTTGGATGCTGTGTTGATTACCTCAACAGATAAGGTTTTGTTTTGTTTTTTTTGAGACATTTTTTCTCTCAAAAATGCTTCTGATGTCCGGTTCAGATTCTTTCATTTAAGATGAAACGAGTCAGATAGGCGCATAATAATTTTGCTGGTCACATTCCGTTTTGATGGCTGAACATGGCGTTTCTCATGGAAAATAAAGATGCTTAGAAAACAGTGGAGAGGGCACAAAAAAACAGGAAAACTCCCTTTATTTTTTCCCAAAAGTTGGTATCATCAGATTAGAGGGAAGGAACTGGGAAAGAATACACAACCCGCTTCAGCAAATGACTTACGAGCTTCCTCTTCCAAGTTTTCTCAATTCAGGCGGGTGATTTTAAGACCTCGCTGGAGGATAAGCTCCATTATAACTGAAGAGACCGAGATTGCAACTCACAAATGTTTCCACCAGTTGAGTGTGTGTTTTTAGTAAGTTCACCAGCATTTTCCACCCCCCCACTCCTCACACACTTATCTTTCAATCCCACTCAGCTTTGTCTGGTGGAGAATTCCAGTGACTCACTTGAGTTTGTTCTTGCCATCTCGGGCGAATTTTGCAGAGACTTGCAGGGGCCACCCCAACCATCAGGATCTGGTCTGGCTGGATTTCAGCTGTGCGTCAAAAAGGGATTTCCCCTTCTAAAAGCAATTATTGGAATTTAACTCAAAGGAGCACCCAAAATACAGAAAAAGGATCTTCCCTTTCAGGTAACAGATTAGGGCAGTGATGGCAAACCTTTTAGACACTGAGAGCCCAAACTGCACATGTGCGCAGGCCCAAATGGAAAGGTGTGCGCGCTCACACGAACATGTGCACACACCGACACGCATGCGGACATGTGCCCATGCGCAGCAGAGACCCAAAGACCAGCTGGCTGGCAGGAGGCAGGGCATCCCAATACCGGCAGCACGGCAAGATCATTTTCTTTCGTGAGCTTCTGTTTCGTTTGCAGGGAAACAGAAGCTCACCCAAGAAACGCCACGGAGATCTGACCTGGGGTGACAGCGCGCGTGCCAACAGAGTGGGCTCTGCGTAACACCTGTGGCACGTGTGCCATAGGTTTGCCATCATGAGATTAGGGATTAAATCTAGGAATGGGGAGGACCAACCTCAAAGCTTCATTCAGATGCTGGAACTGACATGACAACCCCCATAGCTACAGAAAATGAATTTCCTTTGATATGATCAAATTACCAAATAATTGAACTAAAGCTGCCTTAATGTACTTTAGATTTGCCTTCCCTAGCTGTGTTTGATAAGCAATGATTCATGGCATATTATAGGAACCCAGTATTTGGGATTTGCTCAATAAATCATAGTTTAGAAGCATGCCAGAAGTTCCCAAGTGATTTGCCCAAGGCTGATCTTTCAACCTAGTTGTGATTCCCACACATTTTCCAAGCCACGTTCTTTCTGCAACCTGTTAGAAACCCAGAAAGCATAAAGAACTTCCCACGTGTTAAAGGAATTAAAAAGGACCCAGAGAGTGTTGGTCTCTTGAAAAAAAAAAATTAAGAAATAAAAAGAGTAGCAGAATATATTTTCTGAAAAAAAGCTCTTTTTGTTTTGTTTTTTAATTGGTCAAGTCGTTTACATAATGCGAAGTTCAACCCAAGCAACCAAGTGGTCCCCCCAGAGAGGCAGTCGGATTGCGAGAACACAACAACGCACAGGAAGGGGTTCGGAATGGGTAGCAGTTTGGACAAGGCACAGATCAGGAGCAAGCGGCAACCTCTTTACAAGCAGAGCAGGCACTTCCGCTGTTAAAAACTACGCTTTATCTTTTCCTCTTCCCCCAATTTTCCCTCAACGGTCTCTGCACTGTGGAACTACCTGCACATGATTAAACATTCACAGGTTGAATAAAACCAGACGGACATTCTTCAGAAACAGCTGGAACAGGCAAGGAAGAATATATTTTATTCTAACTTCTCTTAAATCCTCAAGTACAGATCAGGACGTGCAAAGCCTTAAATCTTCAAACATTAAAAAAAAACAAAAACAGAGAACTCTCTTCCTAGTCTGCAGGTAAAAAGGACTGGATTAAACAACAAGGTATTATCTTCAATCCTGAACCCAAGTAAGTTCAGGAGGATGGTTTAGCACAGGCCAACCTTGGCAACTTTAAAGACTTGAGAACTTCCAACTCCCAGAGTTGAATTCTGGGAGTTGAAGTCCACAAGTCTGAAAGTTGCCAAGGTTGGAGACCCCCTGCTTTAGCACACCCTCCAAAGAATAGCAACTTTTAGAGAAGATGAACCTAAATCTTTGGGCTGTCCCAGGTGGGGCACTAAAAGCCTTTCAAGCAGAGGTCTCCAAACATGGCAATTTTAAAGATTTGTGAACTTCCAACTCCTAGACCAGCACGGCTGGCTGGGGAATTCTGGGAGCTGAAGTCCAAAGTTCTTAAAAGTTCCCAAGTTTGGAGGCTCCTGCTTTAAACCATCACCTCAACTTGACTCCTGGATGGTCAAGGTCTATTTAGAGCCTCTGTCTTTAATTTATAGGAGGCATTTACAAAAAGCACAAGTGTTATTAAAAAAAAAGCAGATCCCTCTTTGAATCTGGAAGCTGTACAGCCTATTTTATTTATGATGTTGTGTCTCTGGATCCAGCCTGCTGTGATTCACATTGGATTTTTCTTCTCTGACCTGAACAGATCCTCCTTTGCAGGCACCACAAGCACAGGCCTTCAGCACTGCCAGCATTAAGGCACTCAAGTTTAGCAATCAGTCAATTCCCTCGTTTTACCCACTCCAGCTCCCGAGAATCCTGCAGCTTTCCTCCCCCAAAATGAAAGGAACTCCGTTTAGTTCTCTGCTACAAGTTAAGCGCCGCTTTGCCAATTTAATTCTAAGGTTTAAAATCAGATTAGAGAAAACAAAACAACAGAAGACTTTCAAGTAAAACGAAATTAAAAACAAGCGTAGATGATGGCTGGAGTTTTCAGGTCTCCCTGGCTGCAGATGCAGATGAAAAATAAAACCAGGTTGCATCCATGAATAAAAATAGCTCCTCCTTTTGTTTTGAAGAGAACAAATGGTTCAGGTAGGTGGAAAAATGTTGCCAAGATTGGCCAAAGGACAGCAAAGGCCTGGACTGCAATCCTCATCCACCTGCAACCAGAGAGACACAGACCGCAGCAAATTGTACTTTATACAATGTTCCTCTTGCAAATTGATGGTAAATCTTCTCAACAGAGAGAGATTTCTTCCTTGAATTTGGACGGAACACCTGATAGCCCTTCAAAACCTGCTGTTGAGAATGTTTACAGCCGAATTCAGCATCCGAATCTAGCAGGATAGGAACTCTGTGGTGTGGTTGTTGTTTTTAATGCTGGAAAAAATCTGCTTTGTGCAAAGGCAAGTTAGTGCCCTGAAGGCTTTGGACTTGAATTGCACAATCTCCAAAGATATGTCAAGCAACATCTCAAAAGGGGAGCTCTGATATGCGTTACTCAAGACGGACGCTGAGCCCCCGCCCCCACCCCTGCCCTCCCAGCCTGTGTTAGCGACACCCAACTTTTCCGCAGGGAGTCTCAGCCTTCTCAGCAAAACCTTCCTGGAAAAAGAGACGCTTCTTAAAATCAGCAGGGTTGGATTCCAAGGAAAAAGGTGCCACGTTCTCAAACCTCTACTCTGCGAAGGCTTCTGCAATTCGGCCCATTTGCATAGCTGGGATCCAGCCACTTCGAGCTGCGGTTTCAACCAGGTTCCATTTAGAGGCGGAACAGCTATCAATAATTCAGCCGTTCCAAAAAAAGAAAAAAAAAAAACAAATCCCAGAACAAAGATCTTCGGGATTTCAGCCTGAATATTTTTTTCCCCGATTCAAACATTAAAGAAAACAACTGATTCTACTAGATGGTGCACTTAATCGCCCGACAATTGGCACAGTTGGGGTGGCCTTCCAAGCAGTCCTGTGGATTTTTAATGACTGCCTCTGAAAACAATGATCTCTCTTCACCCAAGCAAACCATTGTAATCACAACTGCCTTCTTTCGTTAGAATTACCCTTACAGGATCTGCAAAAGGGGCATCTGACCTTGGTAGCTTGAAGACCTGTGGACAGCCAGAATTCCTCAATCAACAAGGTTGGACACCCCGTGATCTACAATGTCTCCTTAAAATCCCCAGCAATTCTGCTTTCCAGAATTAAATTCTGACATCTAGAACTTACTTCACCATGTTCTAAAACCAGTGCAGACTAGGAATTGTAAAATGCCTTTTCACTGGCCCAATCTATCAGTTTCACTTTTACCTTCCGCTGCTGCTTCCATTTGCTAGCTAGCAGACTGTAGTTGGTACTATTAGGTTCCCCAAAATTATCCTCAAAAGAGGAGGGAAGAAGGGAATTAAGAGTTGTGCAATAGAGCTGGAATGTACTATTTTGCATAGATAACCTGTGGAAATTGCATGCCGGTGGATGGAATACGATCTTCCTTAAGTGTAATAAGCTAATCAACGAAGCATCTATGTGCTCTTACAGTTACACATTCGGTGTCCAGCTTATTTTCTCAGGAATCTGGACAAACATACACACAGTCTTGGAAATAATATTTGGACTAATGGCATAAAACTGGACATCGAGATGGTCAGTAAGAGCTAGAATCTAAGGCGTTAGTTGTGCCTTGTGAAACTTTACAATGTGTGGCTGTGATAAATGCACACAAGGTTAACATCCCCTTCGGTGGGTAGACACCAAACTCTTGCTCAAGATTAAGGTTTGGAAGTATAGACTTCTCTAGAAGCAGAACTTAATAATAAGTGTGTTACGTGAGTCAGGCAATGTTCTACAGAGATCAATAAAATTATCCAAAGGTGAAGTTACAATGAACTTTAAAAAATAAAAAGAGTGGCAGGAGACATTCTGACTCCAATAATAGAAGCAGAATTATCTTATTCATATTTTCAGACCTGTTCATCCTATAGATGTCTTTGTTCCAAACACCAACTGATAGAAAACCCAACATATTGGGAATCCAGCACCTGTGCTTTTTGTACCCTGGATGAAAAACAGCCGTTAAGACTCTTTTAGCCTCACATCGGAATATGGTGCATGATTTCGCCACCCACCTCTCACAACAGGAAGTTTCCCAACTATTAGCTGTGATCAGCAATCGGGGTGTTTTCTTTTTCCCTTATGAAAGCAACAAACCATAAAAACAGAAGTGCAAAGAAACTATTCATAGCATTTTTCAGGTTCCGCTAATTGCAACTAGTGTCCCTGGAAATATTTTTTAAAAAGTGGGGGGGTACTCAGTGTTGACACCGAGAGCCTTTACCAGCTGTTACAGAGGTCCATAGGCCAGGGACCTCTTGTGCTTTGGCAAAAAGCACGTGGGAAGGAGATCAAGCTGCTTCCTCCGGAGCTCACAGGTAGACATTGAGAGTCTGCAAGATCATTTGTCTGCACAGCGGGCAGTTCCGTTGATAAATGGCCTGCTGCAGTAAGATCTCAGTGCATTCTTGGCACAGGCAAAGGTGCCGGCAGGGCAGTAAGAGGACTGTCTTGGTTTGATCCTGGCAAATGACACATTTCTTCCGTTCTTCTTGTTCTTTAAGAAGCCGCCATGGGTCGTTGTCTTCTTCCAAAGCATTCAGTTGCTCTTTTTTTGCAGTTTTGGTCTGGGAGACACTTGGTCCTTCCCCCTGAGGCTGTTGTGTGGCTGTTCTCAGATCATTGTCTGTTCTGGTCTGGTCCCTGCTGCCTCTTTGGCGGGGACGTTGGGTCCCAGTTGGTCCTTGTCTTCGTGGATACGGTTCTTCTAGAGCCACTCTCTGTCCCACAGCAGCTCCCCCTGCCCTTTCTTGCGGAGCTTCAAGCACCAGCGGCGGTTCTCGTTCTGCCTGCTGGTTACCTGCCCAGATGTTCCTGTTCCAACTGAGCACCTCAAGACCCCAGTCTGCCAACCTACGCCACATCTGGGAGCTCAACAGCATCTCCAGGGACAAGAGCACGATGTGATAAAGGCGTTGCATGTCCCTGAGCAAGCGATGGTAGGAAGGCATCGTGTTCAAATAGCCGGCCACTTGGTTTGCCAGGGTCCAAGTCAGCTGAGGGTTCAGGATGAAGATGCTGGTGACAAGAATTGCAGAGAGTAACACCATGCCGTACAGGTTGACAAAGAAGACATTGATCAACAGCTTGCTCACTGAGGCCAGGAGATCAACAGCCAGCTGGCAGGGAGTCCACAGGAGAATGGCTGTAGCAATGGCACTGCTGGAGAGGCGAGCGAGAAAGGCAACCAGGAGGTCTGTGATCCTCAGAAAGGGGCCAACTATAGTGTCCCAAAGGGCCAGCCCCACACCAAAAAGGTTCTGAGTCCCAATGAGGCAAATGTTGATTATGCTGTTGATGAAGTAAGCCACAAGGCTCATAGCTATGGCACAGACTTCGCACATCTGTCTCAGAAGCGTCTGACCAGAGCCAATCAGGTTCCAGAAGCCTCGGTGCACAATTTCTTTGCTTCTCAAGCCCAGGTGGGTGAACAGGTGGCCCAGGACTTTCAAACTCTCCATGCTGGAGCAGAGTCCCCTCAACAAGTTGAGGACAGCGTGCACGGAGCCCAGAGTCAAGTAGTACAAGGCCTCCGCGATGCATAACACGACGACCAGGATCCCGTTCCAGAACTGGCCCAGACAGGCCACCGTGGCATTGGGCAGGTTGTAAATGAAGGCGAGGAGCCAGATCAAGACGGAGAGGAAGCTGGAAACGAGGAAGAAGTTGATGTCCAGCAGGATTACCAGCAGATCCAACACCATCCCCATGCCGTTGATCACCAGGAATACTAGATCCATCACGGGGCTCTCAAAGAATCGATCAAGGCCAAGAACCGCCAACTTCACGGCGGCTTCGTAAAGGGAGCTGGAAGGAGAGGCGCGTGTGCGTTTGGCTCCCTAATTTTGTACCTTAAGAGGGAAAAAATGCTTTGGCAACCAAGTCCTGCAAAAGTCTTTACTCACTGGGCATCAAGGGGCAAGCAGGCCGGCCAGTCCGAATTTGGGAGGTGGATAAGCCTCACTCGGGTGGACAATTGGACAATTCCTCTCCCCCAAAGAGTCACCAGTCCTCGCCCCAAATTGAGACAGTGGGGAGGGATGGGGGGGCTTGCAAAACACTAAGCCCCATCCATGGAAGCCTGGGCAAGACCCCCCCACCAAATCAGGGTGGGGGGGATGCTTTTTCCTCCCTCTTCTTGCCCCCCTCGAGGGGGGGGTCTTCCTTGCTGAAAATATATTTGGAATATTTGTCTTTCTTGCTTTCAGCCTTTTAATTCAGTTCAGGGACCCCTTTCAAAGAGGGGGAGGGGGTGTTTTGCAGCTCATGCCCTGGGTCAGAAAAAAAAAAGGGGGGTCCTTCGAGGGAGGGGACCAAGAAGGGAGCCCCTAAAATCCTGAGGAGGGGGGGCTGGGTGGGGGAGGGGAGGGCGCGCGGGAACCCCCTCCCCCCCGAGGGGGGGCGTCCCCCTCACGTCGTGGAGCGCGGAAGGCCGCAGCCTCGTCCCCGCTTCGCCAAACAGGGGTGGGGGCTGCCTCCTTGCCCGCCGCGAGGGGCGCAAGCGACCACCGCCCCTTCAAGCGCCTCAGACGCCTCCGCTTCGAGCGCTGTCCTCCCTTCTGCTGGGCGCCGCCATCTTGGGGGGACGGGAGCCTCGGCGGCCAATCAGCGAGGGCGTACCGGAGGGACGTTGAGTTTCCCTCTCGTCATTGGCCGCAGCGACTGTTGTTTTTCGCCCTTCCCGCGCCGCGATTGGTCCGTTTTGAAAGTCGCCTTCGGGCGGTTGACGTCGCTCCGAGGGAGGGCGAGGGGCGTGGCTTCTCCGGAGGCAAACGGCGGGAACGAGGAGGTCACGGGATTCGAGGGAAGGGGCGTTACCTCAGGTTTTCCCCGCCTCCGAGGGGGCGGAGCTTTTTTTCCCCCTCATCTTGGGGAGCCCTGGAAATAAATAATAGCTGAAATAATGAATTTGAAATAGGGGGCTCGTTGTAAATCTGTTATTTTATCTAGTGATATTTTTATTCCTTCAGCCATTAGGTCTTCTCTCATCTAACATAGCTTTTAATTTTTAAAAAAATTAATTAATTTTAATCCATTTAAAATTAATTTAATTAATTTTAATCCATTTAAAATTAATTTAATATGTGTTTTGAAAAAAAAATTAATTTAGAAAAAAAACGTGGGAAGGTTTTTTTGTTTTGTTTTTTGCGAAAGTGAAGGCCTCTATTTTACCAAAAATTATTTCAGATTTCAGGCTGTTTTCTCATTCCTGTGGAGATTTTAGTTATTATTTTTATTTTTGCCTTTCTGTGAAGGTAAAAGCAACTTCCCCCAGGGTTGAGGGGAAAGGCTCCAGAAATGTCAAACTCGAATTTTTGCCTGGGTCCTGCAAATTTTTAAAGCAGCCTTTTTAATATATATATATATATATGGTTTCCCTTTCGATAGTCTGAATTTTTCGCTGTTTAATATCTCCCCTTTGCGAGTTTGCAAGACTGATACCAGAATTTAATTCATGAAAGACAAAGCCTTGCCTAGGTGGCTCAGTGGCTAAGACACTGAGCTTGTCGATCAGAAAGGTCGGCAGTTTGGCGGTTCGAATCCCTAGTACAGGTCTCCTGCGTGGGCAGGGGGTTGGATTAAATGACCTCCAAGGTCCCTTCCAACTCTGTTACTGTTACTTCTTAAAAATTCATGTTGCACCTGTGAAGAAAAACTGGATTCCCCCCCCCCCCCAAAATAACCTCTATGAATCTTAGATAGCATAGTCCACCTTGGCTTCAGCTTTACAGCAAGGAAAGGAGAGGGAGGGGGGAAATCCGTGGAAATGGTGTAATTAACCCAGTTTTCCTGTTTGCAGAGAACATTTGCAATCTGGGTATGTTTGCCATCTACTGGACGAGGTGCCAAAAGTCTGACCTCGGGCTTATGCTCTTTGACCTCAAGGACCAGAATGAAAAACAGATCGATCAAATAATATATTATTTGATACTACATATATTGACAGCAGCCCGCATAGTCTGTGCGCAAAATTGGAAGAAGGAAAATCCACCATCAGAAGATTTAATTAGGAAAAATTTAAAATGCGCAGAGATGGACAAATTAACAAAAGAACTCGAGGAGAAAGAGGAAACAGAATATTAGAAAGTGTGGTGTAGATGGTATGAATGGTTGGAAATTAAGAAAAATGAGAGAGGAATAAAGAGGAGAAGGGAAAAAAAGAAAAGAAAAACAGACCGATATTCAAACATTTGGGACTGCCTATGAAAAGCTGCAGAATGGACAGGCAGAAGAGGTTCTTCTCTTACAATTGACAGGGACTTTCCAATGCCATCTCCTGTTTGCAACTCTTGTTCACTCATCATCATCTTCTTCAATTATTCTACCTCTAAGGTAGATCTTTACATCCCGTCGATGCAATGCTCATGATCCTCCAACTTTTCCAGACAGGAAGCTAGAAATCCTCCAAAATCTGGCTTCTTGGATGGCTTTTACAACGCGGGAATCGTCTTTTCAGTGGAACGTAGAAGACCTCTTATTCAATTGCATCCTGTCTGCTTATTCCTGGTTTTTAACTTGAGCTTTGTGCGCTGTCAACTTTCAAAGTTCGAGGAATTGTGCTTATAAAAAGACCGACAGTTCTTTCAAAACCAGGAAGAGAACTAATCTGAACTCTTGAGTAAAAAAGAGCTTGATATCCCTGACTAAGGGCCATTCATTTAACTGTTCAAAGTTATGACAGCGCTGAAATAAGTGACAGGACCAGTCCTTACGGTTGTGACCGTCATGGCGTTTCCATGGTCGCTTGATCAAAATTCAAACAACAAACAAGCAGCATGTATTTAAGACGGTGTGGCACCAATTATAGAGAAGATGAGAGAAGGCTGACTCCACTGATATGGACACATCCAGAGAGCAGCACCTTCCACAGTGGCCAAGACTGCCTACCAATTAAAAGTCAATGGCCGGCGACCTTGTAGGCATCCAAAACAGATGGCAAGATGCCATCAACAAAGATATGCAAGCCACGGGCCTGCGCCACAGAGACGCAGCTGACAGTGCAAAGTGGCATTCAATGATCCGAAAAGTGGGCCCTGCACCTGCAGGAATATGCTAGGAGGAAGAAGAAGATATATTTATGATGGTTACTAAGTCTCTGGGTGATGTGATCACCATCTGCAATCTTCACGGCTTGCTTCCGACAAACAAAGTCAATCGGAAAAGTTGAATTTCCGTAAGGTCCATATCAAAAAAAGGTCGTGAAATCAAGCATGAGTCACTTAACTATCATCCCATTTAGCAATGGAAGTTCCAGTCCCATTTGTGGTCATAAGTTGAAGGCCTTGTAACCCTGTTGAGTTTTCCTACCAAATTTGTTGGCAAAACAGAGAAACGAACCCCCCAAGATCTTCAGCAAAACTGCCAGAAGGATGGAATATTCTCATCTCAGTTTCCGCCACCTGGCTGATAGGCAGGAAGGCGCTACTGTTAATTTTAAGTCTTTCCTCCGATGCATGCCAAGAACGGAACAGGCTTTTCAACTTGGCACGTTTGCAGACAGAGCACTGGAGCAGAATTCTCATCGGACACAGCAGCTAGAGCCTGGAAAGGCAGCTCTGGCAAGGGGAAACTCCCTTGCTCATGTTGAAAGCACAGGGGATGCTGGCCTTTGGTGGCCCCCCATGTGGGATGCCTCCCAAAAGTCTCCAGTGGATGTGTGTCCAGAGAGGAAAAGCTGAACTTATTATGTATGTTCGGTTTGACCTGTAACATGTGGAAGCATGCTCAGTTATTTTCGTATGCTGAAGATACCAAGTTAAAACCAAAAAGGAGTAGCCAAAAACATGTATAAATACTTGGAAGAACGGTTACAGGAACTGGGCCTGGCTAGCCTAGTGAAGAGAAGGACCAGGGGAGACACAATAGCAGTCTTCCAATATTTGAGGGGCTGCCACAGAGAGGAGGAAGGGGGTCAAGCTATTTTCCAAAGCACCTGAAGGCCAGACAAGGAATAATGGATGGAAACTGATCAAGGAGAGATTCAACCTGGAAATAAAGAGAAATTTTCTGACAGTGAGAACAATCAATCAAAGAACAACAAATCAATCAACAAACAAACAGTCCCTTTCTGGATCAGGACTCCTTACGCACAGTCACTCATGCCCTCGTCACTTCCCGCCTGGACTACTGTAATGGTCTCTACATGGGGCTCCCCTTGAGAAGCACCCGGAGGCTCCAACTGGCGCAGAGTGCAGCCGTGCAGGTGGTTATGGGAGCGACATGGCATTCCCCTGTAACACCTCTCCTGCGCGAGCTGCACTTGCTCCCGGTGGTCTTCCGTGTGCGCTTCAAGGTTTTGGTTACCACCTTTAGAGCACTCCATGGCTTAGAACCTGGTTATCTACGGGACTGCCTGCTGCCACCAGTAGCCTCCTACCGGAGGCTTGGAGTGTTTTAAATCTGTCTTGGGCCAAATTGTTTAATTTGGTTTTATTTTGCTTTTAAATTTTGTATTTATGTGTTTTATCTTGTGGCTGTTCACTGCCCTGAGTCCTTCGGGAGTAGGGCGGTATATAAATCAAATAAAACCTAAAACCTAATCAATTGATGGGATAGAAGTCGCCTTCAGAAGTTGTGGGAGCTTCATCACTGGAGGCTTTCAAGAAGAGGCTGGACTGCCATTTGTCAAAAATGGTGTAGAGTCTCCTGCTTGGGCAGGGGGTTGGACTAGATGACCTACAAGGTCCCTTCCAACTCTGTTAATCTGTAATCTGCTTTTGTTTTAAAATTAGCCCCCAAATTAGTTTATGCTGGACATCTAAAGGGTTAGACAACTATCCTCAGTTCCCCATGGACAATTGCTAAATAGAACCCAGGGCAATCACTCTTATCTGGGCATAGGAAAGGAGATCAATGATATTCTGATGCCAACTGTCTCTAAACTATAATGGAATGTGACCTTGAAGAGAGAAGAGATGCTGTCTAGGAAACAGCTACAGAAGAGGGGCAGGAACCCACAACTGCTTAATGGTTAGAGGAAGAAACTGAGAAAGGACCCACCCGAATGGATCAAGCAGTTAAAAAGGGCAGTGGAAAGTTGTTTTTTAAACTTTCAGACTGTTCAAGTAAACTTACAAAAAACGTGATTTAGCTCATCTATTCGCGTTGCCTGTCTGTTTACTCTGAACGCTCAATGAGAAGGAGCAATATAACCCTGCATGTACTGTAACTTTTTAAAAGTGCTTCCAAAAAATCTCAAGAGGACACCTATTAATCTTTTTCGCCCCCTTCCTGGTGTTTTCGTCACACTGGCTTAAGCAACAATGATTTGATTAACCCCATGTCAGCATTTGAGCTTTGTAGAATCACCCAAGACTGTCTAAGTAAGCTGCTAAATTACACCAAAGAATTTCTAAGTGGACTGTAAGCTTGCTTCCCCCACATAATAACAGCCCACTTCTTTCTTCAAAAAGTTCAAAACTTGCTTTCCAAGTTCTGTGCTCTGATCCTCCAAAAGGCTCATAGCCTCCTTTCACATAAAGGTTCTCTGAACAAGACGTTATGTTCTGTGCTTTGAAATATTCATGGACCGCCCATATATACTATATCTATTTACTAGCATTATGATGGTGAACCTATGGCAGGCATGCCAGAGGTGGCACTCAAAGCAGGGTTGAAATCCAACAAGTTCTGACAAGTTCTGGAGAACCGATAGCAGAAATTTTGAGCAGTTCGGAGAACCGGTAGCGGAAATTTTGAGTGGTTCGGAGAACCAGCAAATACCATCTCTGGCTGGTCCCAGAGTGGGGTGGGAATGGAGATTTTGCAATATC